GTTTCGAGTACTCCACCAACATGTCCAGTTCCGATGACGCCGTTCTCAGCCTTACTATCCAGCTTCTATGTCTCCTTGAAAAAACGCTTTGGGCAATGATGGAAGAGAATGTGGCACAGGAGGAAGAGGGGTCATTCCCACGGTTATCAGGCCAGTCATTCACAAGTGGCTTGGAGGGTGAGTTCCTGCACCAGCATAGGCCAGGTATACAATTGTCCAGCCAGGGCACAGTTCTGGAGGATGATGAGGAGGATGATGAGGATGAGGATGAGGAGGAGGAACCATGTTCACAGCAGGGTGGCACCCAACGCAGCTCGTGGGCATCACTGGAGTGTGACTGGGGGGATAAGAAGGACACAGATGATACACCTCCCACAGAGAACAGCTTGTCCTTGCCTCTGGGCAGCCTGGCACACATGAGCGACTACATGCTGCAGTGCCTGCACAAGGACTGCCGAGTTGCCCACATTCTAACTTGTGCTGATTACTGGGTGGCCATCCTGCTGGATCCCTGTTACAAGGACAACGTGCCGTCCTTAATTCCCTCAGTGGAGCGTGATCGGAAGATGCGCGACTACAAGCGCACGCTGGTAGACGCGCTGCTGAGGACATTCCCAACTGACACCGGGGGCTCAGTGGAAGCACAAGGCTAAGGCAGAGGAGGAGGAAAAGGTCGCCAACACAGCTGGGGCACCGCAGCACCTTAGAAGGCAGGGTTAGCATGGCCGAAATGTGGAAAAGCTTTGTCAGCACGCCACAACAACCAGCACCACCATCTGATATGGAACTTCTTAGCAGGAGGCAGCATTTCAGCAACATGATGGAACAGTACGTGTGCACACGCCTACACGTACTGACTGATGGGTCTGTCCCATTCAACTTCTGGGTCTCCAAATTGGGCACATGGCCTGAGCTTGCCCTTTATGCCTTGGAGGTGCTGGCCTGCCCTGCAACCAGTGTATTGTCTGAACGTGTGTTTAGCACGGCAGGGGGTGTTATCACAGACAAGCGCAGCTGCCTGTCCACAGCCAACGTGGACAAGCTCACGTTTATTAAAATGAACCAAGCATGGATCCCACCAGACTTGTCTGTACCTTGTGCAGAATAGACATTTATACCGGCCTCACCCAGCCATTGTTATACTCGAGTGCACTTATTCTTTGTTTTCTTTTTTTCTATGTCCCAATATTTTGGCGGCTACCCCAATAAAAAAAATAAAAAAAAATAAAATAAAAAACCAAACAAATAAAAAAACAGTGTTGGCTTCCTCCTCCTCCACCGCCACTTCCACCTACACCGCCATGGTCACCGCCTCCTCAACCTATGGGTCACTTTGTATAAACTATGTACACAATAGCAGAGGCTTGTGAAGGCCTTTTCTCAATGCATCAGGAGTTGAGCTCAGTTTGATCAATGAAAGAGAATACCCTGCACTCCAACCCTCTCTCAAATGGATAATTCTGGTGTTCCTCCTGACAGCCATGCTTTAGATTTTGATTTATGTTCTTCCAAAGCTAAAATCAAAGATTCCATCTAGTGCTATTTTATGGCTCAGCTGTATTTTTATTTTTTTATGTGTTTTATGTTATTTTAAGTGACTTCCCTATCCACATTTGTTTGCAGGGCACTTGTCCTACTCTTACCCCCATTTCAATTCCCTTTGCAGCCTTCTAGCCCTTTCCAGGACTTTTTTAGAGGGATTTTTGTGGCCAAAAGTTTGGGTCCCCATTGACTCCATTGGTGTTCATGGTCAAGTTCGGGCACGAACACGAACTTTTGATCAAGTTCGTCCGAACTCGGCGAACCCGAACAGTCAGGTGTCCACTCAACTCTATTCACAACCCATTCAGCCTTTCAATCAGATGAGCTGGTTGAGGATAATAAGGTATGTTAAATATCCATTCAACATTGTTTTCATCACAGAAATCTTGGATGATGGATCAATTTTCATCTAAAGTGACTTCCATTGTCATTCTGAATCTGTAATGGAAGACCATATTACTGCATCATGGGTTCCAACATTTTAATAGTATTTATTTGGGTAGCCCTGTTGCAATAAATACCCTCAATATGTATCCAAAGCCGAGCACACATATTGACAATTTTTACTCATAGGAAGTGGACCTATGTAATCTACCTGCCATATCTGCCCTGGTGTTTTTCCTCTTTTTATTTGACCTCGTACTATCCCTGGTACATGTCTGTTCTGCTCATGCTGACACACTGGACATTGCAGAATTACTGTTTTAATTAAATCAAGTGGCACTAAAATGCCTTGCAGTTGTGCCCACCTGTGAGTGGCTTTCTCTCCCAAGTGTCCACATTTCTGATGGGCCCAATTAGCCAATCCCAAAAGTAAGTTAGAATCTTCAATGGACGCCTCTGAGATCTTGGCTTTCTTGTATGCAACAGAGGTAAACAGACGATCCAATGAGTCAGTATTGCAGTGAGCATCAACATGAAAGACTCTTACCTAATTTTGATGTACCATCTCCCATATTTGCTCCCACACATCTTTTCCCCTTCCTTTGTATGAATCATAAACTGTATGAATGTAGGCAACAATGTAGCCAGTCCATTGGCAACAGACCAGGAATCTGTGTATATATGACAACTTCCAGGCATCTCTTGTTTCAGAGCCTGAAACACTGCATATAATTCAGCATATTGGCTACTTTTTCCTGTTCCTGTTGTAGTCAGTATTTTCTTGGTTTCTGGATTGTAAGACACTGCTTTCCATTGTCTTTCATTACCAATGTATTTTGCTGAACCATCAGTAAACCAAGCATGCTTTGCTTGATCTTGTGTTGGTTGCGCAAAAGACTTACCCACTTTACTGGAGATTCCCCTGGCTTGTCTGCTTCTGGCAGATAACCAAGTTCTTGTATCAGCGCATCTGCAATTTTCTCATGTAGTACAGCCGTACCATTATTTCAGGTTTTAGCTCTATCCTGTATGTACCACTTCCATTTTATGATACTGGACTCTTGTGCATGACCTATCCAATGTGTCTTAGGGAAACTAAGTACCCATTGCATGATAGGTATCCCTGGCCGTAAGAACACAGTATGTCCTACTTTAGTAGCTGGTGGTAGTTACACAGGAGGCATTAACAATTTCCCTACCACCACTTGTCTGGTTGATATATAGGGTTTAGTTCCAAAACTGTAACAGCCATCCCTCAAATGCAAGGTCAATTAAAACTGAATACTTCTTCTTTGGCAACCGTCCAATTTTCAGTTCTACCCAGGTCTGGACTGCTTCTCTTACCTCCCAGACCTGTAATTACATAGTGTAATCCAAAACATTTCTTTGGGTTTACATAAATTAAAGTGGCCTCAGCTACAGTGTCTTCAAGGGCAGTAACCCTTTTAACATGTTTATTCTTCCAGTGAATTTCAACTTTTATATGGGGTCTATGATCTTTTACTGAGAAATCAATCACTGGAGCCTGCCTCACTAGTCAATCCCTATCTCCCAGGTCTGTCAAATCCAGGTCTCCCAGGTTAGGCAATTCTTTGTGTGAGAATTCCTCTAAATTGGGGTACAATGAACTCACTTTCCTTTCCCCCCTTCCCCCCATCCTTTGCAACAAGTATTGCACATGCTTGTTAATTTCACCAAGTTTTTTAAAGTTCTTTTCCAATTTCTCCCCAAATTTCCCAGGCAAGCTAACTGTGACAGATTCATCTGTATTGCTGGTTTGTCTGTTTCCCTTTGTTTCGCTGGATTTCCTGTTCGTATGCCCCTGTTCGTGTGATTACAAACTACCGATTGAAACTACCGAACGAACGACCACCCAGGAGAGGAGTGTGCTGCTGGTTAACCTCTTGGCCCCAATTAGAACGTTGTGGTTAACCGCAGACACCTCTCCATTCCATTCGTACGGGTGGTCGTCGTTCGCATGTCGACCACGAGGCAGCGGCCATTTTGGGACACGAGAAAGCGTAGCGGTGTTCGGTACAAATTATATGGAACTAAAAACGGACACTTTAATCTACCGAACACCGCTGGAAGATGATGCCCACCTTCTATTTCGGCGAGGCATACGAACGCCGGTCTGTTCGGGAGTTTTATGCATTCGTATGGACCTTTACCCAGATAGCTGTCCCATGGAGTCATTTGTATACCGAAGGACTGGTGAAAGACTTTAAATTCATGGCAATTCGACTAGATACATCGGATCTGAGCGCTATTCGGTAGAAATATGCACTCAGATCCAGGCTGTCTGGGGATACGTTATACGAACTATATTCATTCGGTATTCTCTCAGTTATGTATTTTAATGTATTTTTATTACTGTATTTTAAAATGGCGATGGTCTCTATCCTGGGAGATAATTAGGTTTCTTCCTAATTATCTCCGGGGTAGAGAAGACGGATTTATGGGTAAGATGGGAAGGACTTATATTGAAGCCACTGCGATTGGCTACTGTACAATATGTTTTACAGTCTTCCACAAGGTCCCCTCGGGGAGTGTCCACCTTGTGGAGACCTGCATAAATACCGGGCAGGTAGCCCCCATTAAACAGAACCTTATTTGACCCTCAAGACGGAGCTTGGTCTCGTTTGTGGGAAATTATTACTGGGACAGTGCTTTCGTTATTTTTAGCTGTGGAAGGCGTTCGACTGTTTTGCTGATCGGGAGTTGCCGTGTTCGTGAACTTCGTTCGGGAGTTTGGCAGTCGGCTGGATATAAACTGCATTTCTGGAGATGGGGATTAATCACTAAACGGCGGCTTCATCTACCTGGCGGTAACACTAACTACCTCTCATCCTCCTGGCAAGAGAGGTGCTGTAGGAATCAAAGCAAGTAGCTTTGATTTTCCCTTCACCTGGGGAAAGGATGGTACTTTATCTGGCCATCCCCAAGGTGTTGGAGCATCTGTCCACAGATTATTTACCTTGACTCCTCCAGAGAGTGGGAGTATCTTTCCCATCAATCTCCTCTTTACTTACCCCCTCTCTGAGTTGAGCCAGGAACATTTATTTTCTACTTACCCTGTTTTCAATATTTCCATCCTTTGGTGTCCCAGATGGTCTGGATGTGCCCAGTCTCCCAATTCTCCTAATTGTATAATGGCTTCAGTAACCAATTGCAATGTGTTTCCGGTTTGATTTATTACCTGCTTATATGCGGGAGGGGGATGGGAGAGGGGTGGAGGGGAGGGGGAGGCAGTTTTTATGATCTTATTTCTCATTTGAACTGTCACAGGCATTTCCATCAGTCTATCCAGTTGTTGTGAATTATGGATAGCCTGTTTTACCATCTCCTGTTTCAGTTTCCTTACTGCATCTGTCAGCCTGTACCATGGTTTGTCATTATCTGGCCAGTCACTGGCAGATGGAGACCACAATTTTAACCCTATCTGGACAAGCTCCATGAGAGTGAGTGAAGCTGGATTCCCATCTACTGCGGGAGGTCCGTTTGACAACATCCTCCTGGCAATCTCAGCCTCTGACTCACCAACTTTGGTGAGTCTATGGCATCAAGATTAATGCCTCCTGCCCCTGTTTAAGCTAGTCTGACAACCCACTCATCCAGTGGTTCCTTTGACCACTATCTGAAGCTTGAAAGAATACCAGCCATCTCTTCCTGTGTATAGTCTTCCATAGAGGTCCTGATAACTTCCCCCATGGCAGTGTACTCCAATTTTCTTCTGACCACAGGCAAAGCATTTACTCCTTCAGACTGAGCTCCAGATGTTGCCATCCCAAGTTTCAGGATCCCAATTGGGTCCTACTTGTGCTAAACACACCTGCATCTTCCTCTTGCTACTCTTACGAGTCCCAACCTTTCCCGTGGCCTTAGTTACCTTCATCACCGATTTTTGCAACAACATTTCATACAAATGCTTTTCTTTTTCTAGCTGACATTTAACCTGTCTAAATGCAGTAAGTATTACCCAACCTCTTCTCTGTCACTTATCTTTGGGAATCTCTTTCAGACAAGCAAGAAGGTTAGTAGGCATTTCACTTTTTTCACATTCATAGTCACAATTACCAGTTGAAAGAGCCCATTCACTGGCAATCAATGCACATGGCTCATCTTCCCATCCAGGAATGATGACATCATCTTCCTGTTTCTTATTATTTTTTGTATTTATTTCATGTTCTTTATACATAATATGAACTGTTTTGAGGCTCTCTCTGATTCCGGAGACATATGCCGTTGTGAGGATTCACATTAATTGAAGGTCATTACCGGCTGTTAGAACTACATTATGGACGCTACGTTCCAACATGCGTTCCATTTCACGGATGCCGAAGTGACATCAGACGCGAATACCGGAAATGACATCTCGTCAATGAAACATTACACACAGGTGATCGGCAAAGAAGAGGCATATAAAACAAGATATTTGGAACTTAGAAATCAGCACTAGAAGAAGGCTCATCACCGAAACGCGTTTGCTGTATTTGGTTGTAATATATTTGTTCTTATATTTGATTTATTTACTCCTGGTTACTAACTATAGTGGTGAGTGGAACTCCAGCTTTTTTTGCCATATTGTATTTCAATGCCTGGCTCCACCCCCATAGTACCTTGAGCTGTTTAATATTATATTTTCAATAAACCATTTTTAACCTATTTGAAGTCCCATCTTCATCTTCTACCACTGCCTGTGGAATCGTTAGCCTGTATCGGCACCCCTGAGCCTGCTATACAGAGCCTGGCACGACTCTGGAAAATGTGAGTGGTAGCCCTATGCCTGTTCACAGTTTTCTTATATATATACAGTTCACACTATGTTGTGTTTTATGTTTATATTTTAGGTACCATCCCATTGTACTTCATATGGTGGTATTATTTACATTTTTACTCTCACTGGGTTTGGTGTGTATACTGATATAGTGTATGTATTGTTTGGTTTCTTTGTTTAGTGTTTTTGGGAAGCACAATTATATCAGCCACACTGCCTGCTAATTGTTGTAGCTATGATAAGGGGGTTATATTTAAATTGTGAAGCACCTACACACCATCTGCTTATATTATAGCATTTTATTCTTGTCGTATTACTTGTGCTAGACACTGTCTAATTAAAGATATTATTTAAGTGAAAACCTTAAAAAAGAAGCCCAAAATATTATTTTAGAATGGACTTTCGGTAAATCAAATATTACATAAAAAGGAAATATAAAAATAAAAAATAAAAAATGAAATAATATAGATCAGTTATATGAAAATGTATGTATCTAGGTTTAATAAAAATAAAAAAACATACGTGAGTCATCTTCCATGGCATTAAAACTAAACATTTACTCCTACGACTATGATTCAGATTTCCTATGTGGGAGCTGGGATACAACATATAGATAGGCTTTTAGGAAAACAACTGCTACAGAAACATGATACATTTCAATTCTGCATAAAATAAATTATGGAAAGAAAAAAACAACCAAAATCATAAAATCCTGAATGAAACTGCAATACAAATGTTTCCTTGAAACATTAAAAGATAAATAGACTTGCAGTATTGTACTTTGGCATTCTTTGTGATGAAACTATTACAGCTTCAATTTTTAATTAAGTGAAATGTACAGTCTTTGTGCTTGCTGCGCACGCTTTTAAAATAACCCTAATAAACTGTGTAAACACTTGACTGAGAATTTTTTCTTTTTTAAGAATTATCTACTCCCTGCTGTCTGAAAAGCAAATTTCTGATACCATTATAAAGTTATACAATGAGCAGGTGAGATAAATAGTAGAAGTGTGGACGAAACAAAACTAATACATAATTCTAATTGGAATTCTGAATTGGAAAACGAACACATGTACCCTCAATTTCCAGAATAACACGTGCCATATAATATGGATTAACTGGGGCAGAGTAGGTCAAAGTTTAGGTTCTTAAGAGCTTGTGTGAGTGATCTTCATGCAGACGAAACATGTTTGATCACTGTAGACAGGGCCGGCGCGTCCATAAGGCGGCACAGGCGGCCGCCTTAGGGCGCGCGGGTTCTGGGGGCACAATATTTCAGTGACCGGCAGGTGGGAAGCACTCCTTCCTGCCAGGCCACCATCTCGACCCCCGGCGCAGCAGTGCTGTGATCAGGCGCGGTGAGGGAGCTCTAACCTTTCTGTTCCCTCGCGGGCTGTCTGCTGATGCCGCGGGAGCCGGACTATGATGTCATCCCGCAGCATCAGTAGGCAGCCCGCAAGGAAGCAGAGGGTGGAGATTAGAGCTCCCTCGCCGCGCCTGATCACAGCACTGCCGCACGTCTCTCAGCAGCCCCAGCCCTCAGGGACCGATCCATCATCCACACCAGCTCTCCAGGTAGGGAGGCTGGGTGGAAAATGTGTATTTATAAAATAATTAGTGAATGTATGTGATGTGTGTCTGTGAGTGACTGAGCGTGTGTGTCTGTGAGTGACAGTGTGTGTGTGTCTGTGAGTGACAGAGTGTGTGTGTCTGTGAGTGACAGTGTGTGTGTGTCTGTGAGTGACAGTGTGTGTCTGTGAGTGACTGAGCGTGTGTGTCTGTGAGTGAGTGTGTGTCTGTGAGTGACAGTGTGTGTGAGTGACAAAGTGTGTGTGTCTGTGAGTGACTGTGTGTTTGAGTGACTGAGCGTGTGTGTCTGTGAGTGACTGTGTGTGTGAGTGACAGAGTGTGTGTGTCTGTGAGTGACTGTGTGTGTGTGTATGTGAGTGACTGTGTGTGTGAGTGACAGAGTGTGTGTGTCTGTGAGTGATTGATCGTGTGTGTCTGTGAGTTACTGTGTGTGTGAGTGACAGAGTGTGTGTGTCTGTGAGTGACTGTGTGTGTGAGTGACAGAGTGTGTGTGTCTGTGAGTGACTGTGTGTTTGAGTGACAGAGTGTGTGTGTCTGTGAGTGACTGAGCGTGTGTCTGTGAGTGACTGAGCGTGTGTGTCTGTAAGTGACGGTGTGTGTGAGAGACAGAGTGTGTGTGTCTGTGAGTGACAGAGCATCTGTGTGTGTGTCTGTGAGTGACAGAGTGTGTGTCTGTGAGTGACTGTGCATCTGTGTGTGTCTGTGAGTGACAGCGTGTGTGTGTGTGAGTGACAGTGTGTCTGTGAGTGACTGAGCTGTGTGTCTCAGGAGTGAGTGTGTGTGTGTGAGTGACAGAGTGTGTGTCTGTGAGTGACTGTGTGTTTGGAGGACAGTGTGTGTGTCTGTGAGTGAGTGTGAGTGAGAGTGTGTGTGAGTGACAAAGTGTGTGTGTCTTTGAGGACTGTTGAGTGACTGAGCGTGTGTGTCTGTGAGTGACTGTGTGTGTGAGTGACAGAGTGTGTGTGTCTGTGAGTGACTGTGTGTGTGAGTGACAGAGTGTGTGTGTCTGTGAGTGACTGAGCGTGTGTGTCTGTGAGTGTGTGTGTTTGAGTGACTGAGCGTGTGTCTGTGAGTGACAGTGTGTGTGAGTGACAAAGTGTGTGTGTCTGTGAGTGACTGTGTGTTTGAGTGACAGAGTGTGTGTGTCTGTGAGTGACTGAGCGTGTGTGTATGTGAGTGACTGTGTGTGTGAGTGACAGAGTGTGTGTGTCTGTGAGTGATTGATCGTGTGTGTCTGTGAGTGACTGTGTGTGTGAGTGACAGATGGGTGTGTCTGTGAGTGACTGTGTGTGTGAGTGACAGAGTGTGTGTGTCTGTGAGTGACTGAGCATGTGTCTGTGAGTGAGTGTGTGTGTCTGCGTGATTGAGCGTGTGTCTGTGAGTGACAGTGTGTGTGAGTGACAGAGTGTGTGTGTCTGTGAGTGACAGAGCATCTGTGTGTGTGTCTGTGAGTGACAGAGTGTGTGTCTGTGAGTGAATGTGCATCTGTGTGTGTCTGTGAGTGACAGCGTGTGTGTCTGTGAGTGACTGAGTGTGTGTGTGTGTGAGTGACTGAGTGTGTGAGTGCGTCTGTGTGTGTGTCTGTGAGTGATTGTATGAGTGTGTCTGCATGCGAGTGTATGAGTGTGTCTGTCAGTGTATGATGAGTGTGTTTGTCAGTGTATGAGTGTGTGTCTGTCAAATCAGTGAGAGTATGTTTGTCATTGAGTCTGTGTGTGACTATCAGTGTGTCTGTCAATGAGTGTCAATCAGCGTGGGTCTGTCAGTGTCAATGAATGAGTGTGTGACAAATCAATGAGTCTGTGTCTGTCAGTGACGTCTGTGTGTTTGTCATTGAGTGTGTGACTGTCAGTGTGTACAGAGTGTAGCGGAGCAGAGCGCGGTACAGGAGCTTCTGTTTCCTGTACCTGGCCAGAGTGACAGGAGGTGCTCAAAGAGAGAGCACTCCCTGTCAGTTCGGCCGGGTACAGAAAACTGAAGCTCCTTTAGGGGATCTGCTCCGCTCGGCAATGCAACAATAGAGGTAGTAGGCACACCAGGAAGGGGAGTGTGACCACTAAAGGGGTGTGGGGTGCACCAAGGGACAGGGAGGGAATGGGAGAGAAACACCAAGAGACAGGGAAAAGAGGGGGGAGAAGAACACTGAGGGACAGGGAAGGGACCACTAA